ATTGAAGGAGTCGAATGAGGAGTTAAACGAGAGGTTGGAGACTTAGATACAAGCTTTAAAAACACATGGTTTTCATCTAAGAAGAAGTAAGTCAGAATATATGGAATGTAAGTTCAGAAAAAAAGAGAAGTGTTTCTAACCTAGAGGTGAAAGTTGGAGACCATATCATCCCACAAGTTATGCAGTTTAAATATCTTGGATCCATAATAAAAAACAATGAAGAAATAGAATGGGATGTAAACCATTGATTCAAGATAGGTGGTTGAAATGGATGAGGGTTTCAAGTATATTATGTGACAAAAAGGTATGACTCAACATGAAGGGAAAGTTTTATCGGACTACGGTAAGACTTGTGATGTTGTATGTGACATAATGTTGGATGCTTAAGAATCGACATGATGATGAGCTGTGTTGGATGTGTGGTAAGACTAAACATGATAAGATTAAAAATGACAATATTAGATAGAGTGTTGGGATAATACCTATTATAGAAAAAATAGTGGAGAATAGACTATAGTGGTTTGGATATGTATAGAGAAGATTTGTAGATTCGGTAGTAAAGAGACTAGATCAAATGGAGAGAAGTCAAGTAGTTAAAGGTAGAGAAAGATTTAGGAAAACCATAAGAAAAGTTATTAAAAAAGATTTCGAGATTAATAATTTAGATAGGCTTAAATAGTGTTTTGGTTCCTGTAAGTTAGCGAAGTTTTGCGTTTAGTCCTAAATTTTTTTCTTCAGGTCGGAGTCCTTATATCTCATGTTTGTGTTGATTTTAGTCCCCTGACGTTAGTAGTCAGTTAAAAAAACGCTGAGTTGGCTAACGCCGCTGACGCGGAATGACATTTTATTTTTCTTTTCTTTAATATTTTGCAGGCGTGGCCAAAATGACTTATGTTAACACCAAAATCAACAAAATATTCAGAAAATGATTTTTGGCATCAGTCCCTATAAATTAGGGTTTTTCATGTTTGGGAGGAGAAGTGTGGTGACCATTGGAGAATGGTTGTGGCAAATGTGAGACGACAACCACGATACGACACTGACGCCGTTCTGGCTGATAATTTCACCTGTGGTATTTAGCATTTATCTTTCAGTCTATTTTGTTCTTACTCTGTTCGTTGCATTTATCTCTGTTGTCTGTTATGTTCGTTGAAAGTGATGAGATTCAATTTAATATTCCATTACAGGGGTGGTTTTTTAAGGGATTATGTAGTATACTACACAGGGGGTTATAAGCATTTAGTAGAGATTGATCCTGATAGATGGAGCTTATTTGAGGCAATTGGTATAGCAAAAGGCATTACTCAGCTTGAGCATTCACAATATATGCTATGGTGGTATAACAATGAGAGAGACATGTATAATACAATGGTTACTGATGCTGATGCTGATGAGGTATATCAATATGCCATGAGAATGAAAACTGCAGTGCACCTATATGTTAATCATAAAGGTAACGCAGGTGTTCAAGTTAATAATGTTGGTGGTGTTCAAGTTAATGATGTTGCTGGTGTTCAAGTTAATGAAGCTAATGATGTTCAAGGTAATGAAGCTAGTGATGTTGGTGATGTTCAAGTTAATGGAGCAAATGAAGTTGATGATGTTCAAGGTAATGATGCTGATGGTGTTGGTGGGGTTCAAGCTAATGAAGCAAATGAAGTAGATGATGTTCATACAAATGAAAATGAGGATAGTGATGATAGTGAAGATAATTAATTTGAATTTGATAGTTTATCATTTGACGATAGTGGAGATGAGAAGGTGCTTGGGTTGGATGATTGTTTTGATGTTAATGCAAAACAAGATACTCCAAAGAAAACGATCAAATTTGCAGCAAATATGCACAGAATACTCCACAGAAAATTCCAATTGGTCTGGTGAAATAATATGGCAAGTTGAACATATATATATATATATATATATATATATATATATATATATATATATATATATATATATATATATATATATATATATATATATATATATATATATATATATATATATATATATATATATATATATATATATATATATATATATATATATATATATATATATATATATATATATATATATATATATATATATATATATATATATATATATATATATATATATATATATATATATATATATATATATATATATATATATATTAGGAATAGTTTCATCATAGGCATCCCGTGGATACATAAAAAAACATGCAGTTGTAACTTTTGGGAGTTAGTAGGCATCCCGTGTAGACATGCATTAGCTGCATTAGGTTTTAAGAACCAATACCCTGAAGATTTTGCGGATGATTATTATTTCAAGGAGACTTATGTGAAATGCTATGGTTATGGTGTAATTCCTGTTAATGGGCAAGACATGTTACCAGAGGTTGACATAGACGAAATGTTACCTCCAGCATATAAAAGAGGACCTGGAAGGCCTAAAAAAATAAGGAGGAGGGAACCGGATGAATAACCCAATAGAGGGAGGACACAAACAAGTTATTGTTGCATAACATGTGGTGTACATGACCATAATAAAAGAAGTTGTAAGAGTCAAATGGTTGACCCTAAAGCTCAAAAAAGAAAGGTATGTAACATGTTCATAATTTGATAAGTATATGCAACAAGTAATCCTTTTAATGTTTTGATTTTCAAAAATTTGCATAGAAAGCCAAAAAAAAGTTGCAATAAAACAACTGTCTACAAATACAAGTCAAGCAACACAAGAACAAACTCAAGCAACTCAAGATCAAACCCAAGAAACTCAATAACAAACTCAAGCAACTCAAGAAAAAACCCAAGCAAGTCATCCAATTGAGGCTGCTACCAATGAACATCCTGAAGTAAATGCATCTCAAACAGATGTTGACATTGAGTTTGAAATGCTAGCTGCAAATCTTGCAGCAGCATTTAAGGCTACTCAAACTCAACCAAATCTTGTTGCATCATCTCAGAGTGTACCTGCTACATCATCTCAAAGTGTTCATATTACATCAGTTCAGAGTGTCCCTGCTACATCAACTCAGAGTGCTTCTGTGTCATCTGGTATAATACTTTCTGCACCTGCCTATATTTTATCTGCACTTGTTCCAAAAACAGATGAAGTACCTATTGCACCTAGTTTTTCTACTCCTAGATGTCTTAAACCAGTTGAGTACCAAACCTAAAGTTTCAAGAAAATTATTCTAATTATTTATGTTATATGAACACCTCTAAATATTTTATATATTGCAGCATAAGAAGAGTACCAAACCTAAAGTTTTAAGGAAATTGGAATTGAGGAAAAATCTTAGGACAAGGAAGTCACGAAGAAGGTTCTGTTGTCATGAAGAAGACATTGTAATTCTGTCATTTGTGCATTTTGGCCTTTATGACATTATGCTATGTAATGTTTATGTAATCCTAAGACAAATTATACGTTTGAGATAAGGTATGTTTTGTTTATGTAATTCTTAGACAAGTTATGATTTTGAGACAAGTTATGTTATGTTTATGTAATTCTAAGACAAATTATGTTTTTGAGACCAGTTATTGTGTATTTCGCAATCTTATGCCTTTTGCATTTATGAAATTATGACACAACTAGGTATGTCTTTTAGCATTATATTATGTTTTTGCCTTTATGTACTAAAGAGTTAGGAAAATTACAAATACAACCCACTAACATAACTATGAATCAAGAATTAAATAGAAATATTTCATTAAGATTAAAGGATGACATACAAACAACATAATATGAAAGATGGACGAAATGCAAAATGCCAAAACGATTCAGGGACGAAATTTTTAACTGATTAAACAATACAAGGATGAAATTCAACAAATAGTCATCTTATAGGGACTAAAACATAAAAAAATTACAAACACCATGAACATGGAACTCACTACCATTTCTGGTAATCAAAGAACAAGACCCATGATAAAATCAACAACAACCTAAATAAATTGGCCTTCTTTCATTCGTTTTTCAACTTCAATTTCATCTTCTATTTTTTCTTAACTTCAACTTCTTTGATGATGCAACCTAATTCCTGCACAACTTCTGAGCAATTGCAACCAATTAAAATTTTCGGTTCAGTTGATATGGTGCGCTCAAGTTCATATCCCACAAGAATAACTAGCAACTTGACATTACACCCGAATTTGCACATTTCTAGAATCTTCGTTTAGGATTTTCACTTGAATTTGAGATGAACATCTGCATTGCCCTATTGCAACCACAAACTGGGATTTAAGACTCAAAGCTATTACATACAGATGACGTTGCCAAGTTACAAAGAAGAAAAACGCAGCACATGTTACAGAGAAGAGAAGAAAAAGTGCAAAAAAATATTTGAAGAGGAAGAAGATGATGCAAATGATAATTTTTTTTTGGATTTAGTCCTCCTTTAAATGACCTCCAAAACATTAATTTCGCGTCTGCAAAATATTAAAGAAAAGAAAAATAAAATGTCATTCCACGTTAGCGGTGTTAGCCAACTCAAAAGTTATTTAACAGACTACTAACGTCAGGGACAAAAATCAACACAAACATGAGATATAAGGGCTCAGACTTGAAAAAAAAAAATTTAGGGACTAAATGCGAAAACTCGCTAACTTACCGGGACCACAACACTATTTAAGCCATTTAGATAAAAACATTCTCCTAAATAAAATATTACGGAGGAAGTTGATCCCTATAGTCGATTTTACTTAATAGGATAAAAGTTATTGTTATCCAGTTAGTAAGATAACACAAAGATTAACAATTTAAGTTTTTTTTTAATGGTAAAAATATAGTAAACACACTATCCAACTGAATTACATTCTATTTACTTAAAATGTAACTTGGAAGTAGGTACAATGGTGGGGTGCTTTGGAGTATATATTTTTTCCATGTTGTCGATTAGAAGAAAGTTTGTTATTCTAGATTTTTCTTTACATTCTTTTAACAGTTACTATATAGTATATATTGCACCCAAAATAATAACATAGTAGACCATACACAGAACATAGAATATTACCATGAGTTCTCTCCTTCAATCTCATACTAGTGACTTTGAGCAAGACAGTAATAGCTCAAAAATGTTGCCAACAATTGTGGAATTCGATTCCACATTTGAAGTGGAAGCCACCAAATTTGTAGAAACTGGTAAAGAGGAGGGTATTTTCTTGACATGGGAGGACCTTTGGGTGACTGTTTCAAATGGAAACAATGGAAGAAAACCAATACTTCAAGGTCTAAGAGGCTATGCAAAACCAGGACAACTTTTGGCCATAATGGGTCCTTCTGGTTGTGGCAAGTCCACTCTTCTTGATACTTTAGCAGGTACTAATGCTATATGACAGGCACGCAATCAGCCATATCTGAACTGTCTGATTAATAAGAACGACTAGTCTAGATTTCAATATAGATTTTTTTTAACTTGATATGAATTTTCAGGAAGATTAGGCTTTGAGACGAAACAAACGGGGAAAATTCTAATCAATGGATGCAAACGACGACTAGCTTATGGAACATCTGTAAGATTTTTTATCTCAGCTTTTCAACAACTCTTTGCAAAATAGTACATTTTTCATAATCACTTTTGTTTCTGTCTTAACTGAAATCATCAGGCATATGTGACAGAAGATGATATAATTTTGAATACTCTAACAGTTAGAGAAGCTGTGCACTATTCAGCTCATCTTCAATTACCTGACACCATGTCTAAGGAAGAGAAACAAGAGAGAGCAGATTACATAATAAGAGAAATGGGTCTGCAAGATGCAATCAACACAAGAATTGGAGGGTGGGGATCTAAAGGAGTGAGTGGTGGACAAAAGAGAAGAGTTAGCATTTGCATTGAGATCTTAACACATCCTAGACTTCTTTTCCTTGATGAACCAACTAGTGGACTTGACAGTGCTGCTTCTTATCATGTTATGACTAGAATTTCTGGTTTAAACCAAAAGGATGGTATTCAAATGACTATTATTGCATCAATTCATCAACCAAGTAATGAAATTTTCCAACTTTTTCACAATGTTTGTCTTCTGTCTTCTGGGAAAACGGTTTACTTTGGACCTGTATCTGCTGCAGATAAGGTTCGAAATAGACACATATATCAATTTTTTTAAGTTACACAAACAACTTACATAATGGCTTTGCTGCCTCTATCCACTGAGATTCACCATTTTTACTTTTTTGGTACAGTTTTTCTCATCAAATGGTTTTCCATGCCCAAGTCTCCATAGTCCTTCTGATCACTATGTAAAAACAATCAACAAGGATTTTGAACATGTAAGTAGAGTTTTCATTGTTCTTGCCTTATAATTTTGCTAACATTTTTTGTGTGTAGAATAATCTTAGTTAATAATAAATTTAACTGGTTTACCAATTATTTGCAGGACCCTGAGAAAGGATTAGGTGGAGGGCTATGCGCAGAAGAAGCTATTCACATTCTTGTTAAATCATATGATTCATCTGAAATTAGTCACCAAGTAAAGAAAGAACTATCTCAAATTAAACAAAGAGTGAGTTTTGTTATACACCTCATACGTAGCATAGCTAAGAAAAACAGAAGAGAATTATTAGTAAAACTATAAATTATGGATGCAGGTCTCATACTCAATGGAGAAGAAAAGCCATGCTGATTTTCTAACTCAGTGTCTGATTCTTACAAGAAGATCTTTCGTGAACATGTATCGCGAAGCAGGCTATTATTGGTTACGTCTATTTATCTATGGCGCATTGGCTTTAAGTCTTGGTACCATGTTCTTCGACATTGGTTCAAGCAATCAATCAATTCAAGCAAGAGCTTCACTGCTTGTGTTTGTTGTTACATTCTTGACATTCATAACTGTTGCTGGATTCCCTTCTTTTGTAGAGGATATGAAGGTAAAATAATTTTTCATAAATTTTTTTTGTCACATAAGTGTCTTGAAGATGAAAGTGATAACAATAAATTCTTTTGGTTAGGTATTCGAACGAGAAAGACTTAATGGACATTACGGTTTGACAGCATTTACTATTGGAAACACATTATCTGCTATTCCATTCTTGCTATTGATGTCATTGATACCAGGAGCATTGGTTTATTATCTAGTTGGACTTCACCAAGGACATGAACAATTTGTGTACTTTATATCTATGCTTTTTATTTCTGTCTTGTTAGTTGAAGGTCTCATGATGATTGTTGCAAGCATGGTTCCAAATTTTCTGATGGGAATAATCTTTGGTTCTGGAATCTTGGGAGTAATGATGTTAGATGGTGGATTCTATAGACTACCAAGTGATATACCAAAGCCATTTTGGAAATACCCTTTGCACTATATTTCATTCCACAAATATGCATATCAAGGATTGTTCAAGAATGAGTTTCAAGGCCTAACATTCACTACTAGCAATCAAGGGATGATTAGTGGTGATGAGATATTGAAACACTTGTGGCAAATGGAAATTGGTTACTCAAAGTGGGTGGATTTTGCTATTTTGGTTGGAATGGCCTTGGCTTATAGAATTATGTTTTTGATTATTATCAAGAGCTTTGAGAAGGTGAAGCCTATTGTTGCAGCAATTAAGTGTCCTCAAGAAAAGGTTAGGTTCACTAAAGTGACTAGGAGCAGTGAGATTGATTAGCTTGTTTGGCTTGTGACTAATGACCAAATACAGAGTATAAGAATGTGTTTGAGGCAATAATGATTAAATAATCTTAGTTTTTCTAGTTTAACTATTTTTTCTTTACTCTCAATCTTGACTTTGTCCTTGGTCAACTTATTCAATTAATTTTAGTCTTTAATTGGATTGGTTAGCAGCATCTATATAAAAAATGGCATTGTACCAATTTATTCAATAGTTATAAGATGATTGTTTTTCAGTATATATATAATATCCATGTTTTACATATGGCTAAAAAAACTCAAGTGAATTAAATAAGACATTAATTTGTGCTAAATATGTCAATGATTGATTTGTATTAATACTTCACAATGTCGGATAAGATTTTTATTTCAAAAGTCTTATGTATAGTCAACACTGGATGTTAATTGCGCGCACGTGCTCACACACATATGTTGTAAATTTACATTCATCCTCCTTATTTTGCATATAATTTGTAGTGAAATAATTAAGGAAGACCCGAAGGCAAGAGCGTGAGGCGTACACACTATTTTTCCGAAGTTATCCCTCTATTAGCTTGAGCATCCTTCATCTAGTTCGATCGTTCATTCACCAAATATGTCGCCCAATTTCCATTTTTTTGTCCATAACGTGCATTTTTGGGGTGTAGCGTGCAGCAAGTCAATAATCAATGCTCAAAAAGTCATGGAGTATAGCCTTGCCTCTTGAATTTTTGGATATTAACCACTTATTCCCTCGAGAATCATGGGGAAAGGGAAGATTTGGTTTGCTCGATCCAAGGCCCTTGGAATTGGAAGGCTATAAATACACCAAGACTTCGATACTGAAGAGACTAATCTCTAAGACACAGAGAGCAACCACCATACAGAGCTTCATATATTATTTCACGTGAGCTAGTTCTAACCCTCAACAAACACTATGTCTTTGACAGTCCTAATCCATGTGGGGTTGTGTAACGTCCCGTATAATATACATTTAGAATCATATCATACAAGAGTTATCATTTGGTACTAACACCATTATAAGTGCCTATTGGCATAATTTAAATACTTGACCATTTATTAAAACATAGAAGACAACCTATGGTACAAGATATGGAAAGTGACAAAATAATAAAAACTAAGATCTAAGTACAATATCCTTCATTGCACGAAATACACAATACAAAGCATAATAAACATAAACTAGGCTTCCCTTGAAACACCCAAGCATAGCTCCACTTGTAAACTAAACCTGCAACAGAACCTGAAAAGCAATAACAATAATGGGGTGAGATAATAGTCTCAGTGAGTTTCTCTATCTTATGAGTTCACTCGGCTCTACAGGGTTCTAATCAATTTCTACCTCAAGTCAAAAGAGAAAGAGATAAGACTTGAGTTCACACAGTTTGCAATGTATGGAAACATATCTTTTGAGTTCATCAACACAAACAATCACTAATCGAAAATCTTACCAAGGAATCCCCTTTTCCCATTCTCTCCTACATCTAGGAGATCAGCACGAGTCACGGATCCTTGTAATGTACTTTGACATACGGGATGAATTTGGATCTAAGGGAAACATGGTCCGATAAATCGTCACTTTTCATGGGTTGTACTCTATCACAAGTCTCTTTATCCGTAGGCTCCATTCGTACAACAGGACTCAAACTTTTCAAAGTAATTGTGCGTACATTCCGGAGGAGCTCTCTATATAAGCATCCACTCTCGGAACGACATATCTCAAGGGAATTGGTTCCGACTACGTGATAAAGCACAACATAACATTGAATGGATTCGGATCCTAAGGGACATATAATCAACCTTATGGATCATCACTTCTCATGGGTCGTACCCCATCACAAGTCTCTTTATCCGTAGGCTCCATTTTCTTATGTAATCACTAAGGATAACATGATTGTATTTGACAATCACAATAAAAACGAAACGGTCAAACAACCAAACAATTAAACAAGAAAAAGAAACAAAACCTGACAAGCTCGTTGTGCAAGCTCTAGGCGAGGTCGCTTCGAGCTCTATGCGAACCAGAGGCAGAAAATTTTTCCTTCAGTGGTTGCTGTGAGACCCCAAGACGGGAGCTCGCCTTTGCCTCGCTCGAGGCTCACAGTGCGAAACTAGAAATCCCAACAGCGTGTAAGGTGAAATATCTATGGCCAAAACCTATATTTCTCATTACATAACAACCTAAATCACATCCCAACACTCATAGGAATATATTAGAACAATTAAGCATGAACTTCATCAAATCATCATGTAAACAACATTTTAATTCCATTTTCACGCAAAACCTAAATCCCCAAAGTTTTCATATTTCCCCCAATGCTATACTAACTAATGAAACTCACCTTGCAATGGAGAAAAAGAGATGGATTTATGATGATGAATTTTTCTTCTTCCTCTTCCATGAGTTTCTCCTCTTCTTTCCTTTTCTCTTCTTTCTTTCTTATTTCTCTTCTTCTTACCAACTTTCTTCCTTTTCTTTTTATTTTCTTTTCCACCAAATATCTCCCAACTGACACCCAATTGAGTATTTAAGGGAAATATGGGGTATTACACGCTCCCCCTTATATTGAAATTCGCCCCCGAATTTTCTCTTCTCAACAATAACCACTTCTCGCACGACAATGATGGATCAACACTTGACTTAACTTCAGTTAAAACTTCTAACGTACTCGATTTTTTTCCAACTTATCTTCAAAGATCAAATTTCTTGTTTCTACAAATTCTCAAACTTCACGATCTCGACTATACAATTGTTCCAATGTGTGGTTAACTTCTAACTTTGTTTTTCCTTAATTCATCTGTCATGCCATTCTGAAACACTTGTTCACATTCTGCTTTCAGAATTTATAACTCCATACTCTCATAATGAATCACAATACATCATCTTGGTTTAGGATAAACAACACTCATCATATCTTCACGAGACAATTCAATGATTCCATGTCTTCAAGCAAATACTGACGGTTATCCTTTTATAAATCCTTCAACCTTTAAAACAACTTCATAATCCATCGATTGGTATCCTTATCAATCTCACTTGGTCTGATACTATACATTGTAACCATTACACCCGACGCTTCAACTCTTCTGTACTATACTAATAGGATATCACCCTTAGCACGAGATTGTCTTACATCCATCCTTACGAGCAACTATCTCTCTGATCCTTATTAATCCGAATGAACTCTTTCATTTGTCACCTTCTACTGTGCAACCCTGATTCGATTAGCGGAATATTCCAAATTCTTGGGCACCACTAGTTAGCTAGTCGTCTGTGTAGGACACACTTATCCACCAGAGTGCCCACTAACTAAATAGTACGAGAACCTGACCGGCATCCATCAGTAGAATAACTTCCTTGCTAACACACAACCGTTAGAATAAATTTAACAATCTCCAGTCGATAGATATACAGAAGTTATGACTACGACCATAAACATATACAACCTTCAAATCCTTTATGAGCTTGAAGAAATTTATCCAAATTAGCTTAATAACTTCTGGTTTTGGTTATTTCATTCAATATCAAATCCTCTTTATAAATTCCGGTTCATCACGTTTTCTGTTGACACGAGATCTCAACCAATAACAACATAACACCATCACGGAGCTCCAAAATATCCGCGAGTCACCACTTCCAAAACTTAAGTCATCCATAACACAACTGCGAGTTTCCACACTACACATCGATTCATACATAACACTTCACACACATTTAGAGATTACATTGAACTTCCTGTCTAAACTCATTTCTCTCAACGTCCTATTCTACATACGATCCAAGTTACATGCTTATCCTTATCAGTATCTCATTTTGACTTCTGTATGGAATGATAACTTACAAATTCCTTCAACTGGTAAAGTACATTGTATACATCCGGTACCACCCTCACAGAGTCTACATCTGATTCCATGAACTCAAGAGACATAACAAACGCCACATTCCAACTATCCACTTATACCTTACTAACTCATATGCCAAAGGTACTGAACCGCTCTCTGCAAGGTCATCACTTAGTCAGTCTCACCCAATCTCACTCTTAAGCTCCTTAGTAGTCATAATGGTGATATATCCAAGTCTTTCTCCTATTGAGTATGTTCCACTAGATCATTTCTCTAACGTCAAACTCCTTTGGAATTCATACAGATAATCAACTATGCAATACCCTTCTAAATATTCCAACTCCAGAACCGTCAACCCGTCTCGCACTAACTTGCATTTTTATCTTCCATTCATACCTCTTCAACTTGCATAATACTCACCAACCACGATCAACACCAGGTAACATAAAACAAAGCTAAAACATGCAGATGACACACTATTCCAAAGTTTTGTCATGGTCGCTCAACGAGTAGCCAGCGAGCTCGATAAGGCTCACACGACAATGCTAGCAGAATTCACCAAATGATGGCATTCAAGGGTCTCAACCACAACTCATACTTGATTCACCCACAAACAAACCTCAGCACAACCACTATATGGTACCACATTCTTCATGGACATATCATGTCAAGCACATAACCTCATACTCTTACTAGAATTCCTTGGTGAGAATCAAAACAACAAACTTTCTTAGTCCAACAAAAGGTAGTTTCAGAATACTTCGATCATCCACAAATACGAAAAATCCTCCCACTCTTGACAACCAAGATAATACTTCTTCCTGAAGAACCTTGACATCTCTCGCATGCTTATGGATTGGGATTCTCTTCCCATCTAGTATACATTGAACACTTCACTACACGAAAACCACTTATTGAATGACTTGTAACCGACAACTCTTGTCAACTACCTACAAGACCACCTGATATAGTCCGTTCCATGATTCCACTTAGTCCGCACTAAATCTTGGTTTGCTCCTCGTTACTCACCACAATCTCACTTCTTAGAACATGATCCTCACTGTTCAACAAAGAGGGTATGACTTCGCATCTGTCTTAAGACTAGGAATCCATTACGTACACTTGTGACCACAATATTACTACCACGTATCTCATAATACCAAGGTGCAACTTCTTTCACTCTACTTCACGTGTCAAAAGTCATCATGAATGAGTAACCATCGAGTGCACCTCCTTAATTAGTCTCAACAAAACTTAATAACTCCACTACACAATCGCTTAAAATATACCCCTTTACCATTTTCATATTGCAACGTTGGCCTCGTTCTCCATTTTGTATTTGCTTCGCTACCCATAGCACTTTTCTTAATTCTAATTTCTAAAATCATCTTACTAGAGTTTCCTCAAATCCAAATTGATTGTTCTATCTTTCATCACAAACCTCTCTTGCCCATACTGTTAAAACTTATGTTACTATAAAATACTTGTTTCTTATATAACACATTCTCTTATAATTGATCCTTGGGTAACTTACCATTTCCAACTTGGTCTCTCACTGAATATTGAATTCTTGGTGAACTATCCTGAACTCGATCTCCCTTCGTAGGCTAAATACACTTGATTTACCTGCTACCCTTTGTCCGGTGCATTCATGATTCACTTCGAACATGTAATCGGGTCTTAGAGTCTCCTCTTACACTTCACCACTACACTAGACTCTTACAAGGGTATTGAGCGTCCTCATCTCTCACATTCTCAACCATAGTGAAGGTACCATTCTGAGCGTGCTCCCTGAAATACTCTTGTTCTTTCCAAATATAATAAAGACCTTAGAGACTGGAATTCTGATAAACTACCTCATCTCCCGACTTCACGTCGTACGCTCAACAAAACATCCTTCCTTCCCCCACTAAATGGAATTACTTGAAATTCTTATCAATGCTAGTGGTCAATCCAGCTTCACAAGAAAATCCTCATATTCTTCCATACTCTGACCATTTATCTGATAGAGATCTTCAACTTTTCAACTCCATTAATTCGAAAGCATTGCTTGAACCATTCACCTCCCTTCAATTCCATGATACCGGAAGCACAACTTCTACTAAGATCTCAAATGAGCTGACCAGATCTCCCTACTTTTAACTCTTTGCTTGAGTCTACCCTCACAACATAAGTTCTGACAACACATCAGAGTCCTCGTGGTCGCTTAACCATGATCCTACCTACCACATACATAACATTAAGTTGATCAGGCCCAATACTACATAATATGATATTAAGAACCATGTTGGAAAAACGCACTTATGAGGCAAGAATAGATTTACTTATGATGTTTCAAGGCTAGGTCGATGGTACGACCTGCTCTGATACCAAATGTAGTGCCACGTATAATATATATCTAGAATCATATCATGCAAAAGTTATTATTTGATACTAACACCATCATAAGTGCCTATTGACATAATTTACATACTTGACCATTTATTAAAACATAAAAGACAACCTATGGTACAAAATATGGAAAATGTCAAAACAATAAAAACTAAAATCTAAGTACAATATTCTTCATTGTACGAAATACATAATACACAGTAGAATAAACATAAACTAGGCTTACCTTAAAACACCCAAGCATAGCTCCACTTGCAAACTAAACCTGCAACAATACCTGAAAAGCAACAACAATAATGGGTGAGATAATAATCTCAGTATGTCCCCCTATCTTATGGGTCCACTCGACTCTATAGGGTTCTAATCAATTTCCATCTCAAGTCAAAAGATAAAGGGATAAGACTTGAGTTCACACAGTTCGCAATGTATGGAAACATGTCTCTTGAGTTCATCAACTCAAACAATCACTAATCGAAAACCTTACTAAGGCATCCCTTTTTCCCGTCCTCTCCTACGTCTAGGAGATTGACACAAGTCATAGATTCTTGTAATATACTTTGACATACGAGATAGATTCAGATATAAAGGAAATATGGTCTGATAAATTATCACTTCTCATGGACCGTACCCCGTCATAAGTCTCTTTATCCATATGCTTCATTCGTACAATGGGACTCAAGCCTCTCAAAGTAATAATGCGTACATTCCAAAGGAGCTCTCTATATAAGCCTCCACTCTTGGAATGAAACCTCTCAAGGGAATTGGTTCCGACTACGTGATAAAGCATAACATAATGTCGAATATATTAGGATTCTAAGGGATATATAATCAACCTTATGGATCATCACTTCTCATAGGTCGTACCCCATCACAAGTCTTTTTACTCGTAGGATCCATTTGCTTATGTAATCACTAAGGATAGCGTGATTGTATTCGACAATCACAAGGCATCACATTCGCCTTAACCATAAATAACACAAATCATACATGTTCCATATAAAACTCTCCTCACAACTAGGTGATAGGTGTCAAGTTTAAAATGGTTTTTGCATCAACTTACGGAACTTTTAAGCTATTTTCCATACTTTTGATTGCGAAACAACTTATTTATTAAGTGATTCTTACATCAATTTATATATTTGGTATTTTTAATATATTTGTTAGTTTTGCAGCATATTTTGTAAAAAGAGCACGGCAAAAATCGGAAGAAAAAACAAAGAAACGAAGAAAGTCGCGTGCCAAAGAAATCAAGACCTTCGCCTGGTGAAGGAGAGGCGGAATGGGAGTTTTGCCCGGCGAAGGCCTGGCGAAAGACCCGGCGGAGGTCTGGCGAAAGACCAGGCGAAAGAAGATTGAAATTTCAGTAGCTACTGGAATTGGTTCGCTGGCTTATTCGCTAGGCGAAGGAGAGGCGAAAGGGATTCGTCCGGCAAAGTTGTATTTCGCCTGGAAAATTCATATATTTTTTCCAGCTTGTTTACATTGTTTTTGTCACGTGGTTGTACTAAAGGAATTCACCCGGCAAATTCTGTGACTCGCCCGACGAAGTTTCCTGGGCAGAACTTGTGTATTTTAGTACTTTGTGATACTGTTTGGAACATAACTTACTTTTTACTAATCTTTTGTAACCTAAAAACTCTTGTGAAGAGAAAAAAATAATCTTCTTCATTTCTACTTAGAAATCAAAGCTTTTAAGTTTCAAAAGCTTAAATTTGATGCTCCAAAAGCTTTGTTTGTTACTTGTTGCTCAAGCTACCTTGGCTATGGGTAGCTAAATCTCTCCTTGTGTCAAGATTAGAGGCAGATAATCCTCACTTTTGTATGTATTTCTCTTGATATGTGTATGTGAACAAATTGATGATGAATATATCGTGAAAAACCTTGTTTTTATTGTATATTTATGTTGGATAATTATTGAGAAATATGTTTCAACTATTAACCTAGTTTTTTCATCTTTCAATAAACAAAGTCTAGAGATAGTTTTGTGAGTTGATATTCACTAATATTAAATTTTTAATGTTATCATATTGATAATTAGGTTGAAATCTCATCTAAGGATCAATATGATATAAATCACAATTTGTTTTAGAGATGAAACATATTGAGAGGATATGTGATTATATTTGTTGTTAATGAGTTCACATGCTTTGTTAAGAAAATGTGTGAAATGGATTATCGAACCCTAATCTTGACATGTTTTTACCAATCGTTTAAAATTGAAACTTTTTTCCGTTGATTATAATTTTTATGCAATGGTTGCGTTACGAAATCAAATCAACCACTTTTTATGTTCTATGTTTAAAATGATTCAAATTATAGAACGACGGTAATATCACACAATCCCTGCGGATACGATAACAAAAATAACAAAAACTCACACTAATACTCTTTCAACACTAGGAAACTACTTGCCAATGATACACACCTAGGCATCATTGCACAAACATTGCCATCTATGTTATTCATCATGTCCTAATCACTTTATATTAGTTCATTCCCTTAAATATCAAGGGTTTCCTTACCATTCTTATAGTCTTTTAAGCATGTTATTACACAATCACATTCAAACTATATATATATATATATATATATATATATATATATATATATATATATATATATATATATATATATATATATATATATATATATATATTGGTTCCAACTGGTAACATTTAAAGTATTTAAGAACTTCAATTATTTCAACTGACACAAGTTAAAGTGCATAGGAACTAAGTTAATCACAATTGACACCCAATTGAGTATTTAAGAAAAATATAAGATATTACATATTATTACACTTATTATACTTTTTATTCGGTACAATAGACGCCACCGTACGGCTCGGTAAAACTGACTTGGGTCACCCTCACTACACTCAACAAGAGTATTGTGTTTACCCTCGCCCACACAAGGGTGAATAGGAAAACAACTACTATTGCAGCTGAAGAATCAAACAACGAGAAAAACGCCATAGCAAAGATGCATGCTGCTATACATAAACTTTAGCGTTAGACCCAAATTTTAGAAGATAACGTTCACCGTATCCAACAACCACTCCAATGCATGTTGTCAATGCAAATGCCATGAAAATTATAGCAAATCACATGATACTTAAAGATGCTTTTTAGATTTATACTTAGTTAATCATCAATCATAAGATAGAGTCTGGAGGTAGATCTAAAAGTGATAATCACATATACTTTTGAAACTTAATCCCACAATATTGTTTATTAGGCTGAGAATTCATCAAATAAACTATAAGAATTGACATATACATACTATCGTTTTGAAGGATATTAGTTCAAAAACAATTTTATAAGTGGTTTATCAAGTTTCACATAAATGTATAAAAAAAGGGTGAACTTGAAACATTGCAATCTTTAAAGCTTAGGATAACTAACTAGATGTTCTCTTCTCAAAAGTTTAGACTGGAAATTCAAATTACTACAAAATATTTATTACAACCAACACCATTTCTTGCACAACCAAACTACAATAAATAAGAACTTCACTAGATTCATACGGTTCACATATATAAAACACAAAGTTGATATTCCTTCACTTCTTACCTACCAAACTATAATTAATAAACCTTTCTAAGATTACACAACATGCCCATTCAAAGGAGTAGCATCAGGCTTCTCAACATGCATTATTGTCTTGGAAGACTCTCCCATTCTAGATAACATTGATCCAACAACAGGTTTCATCTTCTCTCTACCTTTGATGATAAAAAGAAACAAAACACGATACAAAACAATCATCCCAAACAAAATTGCAAGATCAACCCATTTTGAATAACTCATGTCAATTTGCCATATACCTGTCAAAACCGCTTCACCAGTAATGTACCCATTTACGCCTTGTACATTTGGTTTATCGAACCTTAGTCCTTCGTACTCATTCTTGAACAATCCCTCGGTTACATAAGTATGAAATGCAACATAGTGGAATGGATATCTCCAAAATATGTTGGGAATATCATGTGGCAATTTGAAGAACCCTCCAACCAACAGCATGACTCCTTGAATTCCAGCGCCCGTTACGATTCCCATTAGAAAGTTCGGAACAATGCTTGAAACTATCATCATGAGGCTCTCAACTAACGTTAGGCTTGAAAATAAAACACATGCAAAGAAGAAAAAGTGTTCATATCCTTTTTGAAGACCACATAGGTAGTAAGTTATAACTGCTGGAATGATTGAAATCACTAAAATGAATGGAACTGATGAAAACGTGTTCCCAATCACATATGCTACCACGCCATAATGCCCGTTTTGTCTCTCTCGTTGAAATACTTTCATGTCTTCTACAAAGGAAGGAAATCCACCAATGCTCATGAAAGTTAAGAATCCAGAGACGTATGCAAGAAGTGAACCACGATCCTGAAATTATAATTTAAATATAAATCCGTATATATAATAAAAGTTTTACAGAAATAACAGACAAACAGATAATACGCTACGCTGTTTAGGGTTTCAAACAAAAATTAAGGTTCAAGGTTGTAGCTAGTTATGAACTCTTAATCTCTTACCTTAATTGAGGTGTAACTTGTACCAAAATCATAGAACACAGTTCCTAAACTTAAAGCCAATGCAATATATATGCCTAATCGTAACCAGTAATAGCCTAGATCACGAAACATGTTCAATGATGAGCGTTTGGTAAGAGCTAAGCATTGGTTAAAGAACCCTGCATGCCCTTTGTTCTTGTCCATTGATCTCATTTGCTGAAAAATACACATAAATTCAATCAATTAATTTTAGTTTTAATGTTGAACTAATTAACCCTAAGTAACTACGATCTAGTAAGCCACAAAGTGTACCTTTTTGGATAGAAGTGCAACTTCATTGTGAACATCTTTGTTCATTTCAGATGATTTATATGAACTTACAAGGATACTAATTGCTTCTTCAGCGGAAATTTCCGTCTCAGTATCCTAAAAAAAATGAAATTGTATTTCAAATATACTTTCTTACTATTTTTTTCAAGTAACAAAATCATGAAAAACTACAAATGTGTTATTAATGCTTGATGAGCAAGTTACCTGATCGAAATCCTTGTTTATAGTTTTAAGTAAATGATCAGATGGATTTTGAAGAGGAGAACAAGGAAATCCATTCAAACCGAAAAACTACCAAAAAATAAAACCAAATTCAATCATTATTTAAACAAAAATCATATATATGCACCGCCATCATAAGATTTTACTCTGCTAATCAATCACAACTCACAAACACAACAACAATTATTGTTTGATGTTACTGTAAGACATTGACGGTACATGTTCATTAATCGCGAATAAAAAACGAGCTAGATACTAACCTCACATGCAGCAGAAGCAGGTCCAAAATAAACAGTTTTACCAGAAGAGAGAAGACAAAGGTTATCAAAAAGTTGAAAAACTTCAGAACTAGGTTGATGGATAGAAGTGATAATAGTCCTTTGAATTCCATCTTTCTGATCCAAGGAAGCAATTCTTTTCATGACATAGTAAGAAGCAGCACTATCAAGTCCACTAGTTGGTTCATCAAGAAAAAGAAGTCTAGGACGAGTTAGAATCTCAATGCAAATGCTGACTCTTCTTTTTTGACCCCCACTTATGCCTTTAACACCCCACCCTCCAATTCTTGTGTTGATTGCATCTTGAAGACCCATTTCTTTGATTGTAAAATCAGCTCTTTGTTTCTTTTCTTCCTTAGACATTGTGTTAGGTAACTGAAGTTGAGCTGAATAGTACACTGCTTCTTTAACAGTTAAGGTTGTTAATAATATATCATCTTGTGTTACATAAGCCTACATATATTAATGAAAGTGTTAATAATTAAGCATAATCCATTTTTATTTTGAAGAGTTTAATATTGATTAATTTTATACCGAAGTTCCGTATGACAATTCTTGTTTGTGACCGTTGAGTAGAATCTCCCCAGTTTGTCTTGTGTTTGTGGCTAATCTCCCTGAAAAGTTGGATTTACATAAATAATAAAAGTATGTAAGAAAAATATTGATTGTTATTTAATACTAGCAATTATATAATTTACATTTTCTAAAACTTTTTTTTTATATTAAAGAATAATTTTATATTAAAAAACTAATAATATTGCAAATATATTGTAGTATTAATTAACAAAAGTTCTTGATCGTATTTTTTTGTTTTCTTAAATTTAATCTTTAAAATTGAGTTTGAGGGACTAATAATTACTCAATTAAATTAATTACATGATCATTTAATAATTTTGTTAATACTAGATTCTAAATTATGTAACATCAACATTTCAAAACTAAATTGATAATTCTCCATATATTTGTCTTATTTTACATCTATCATGAAACACATTTATGGTCCCCTACATGAAACACCAAGAATTTAGTGTTTTCTCATTTGAAAATGCTGCCAACTTTATTACCTAAAAAAACTCGCAGGTCATAACTATTTTTATAACTTTAATGGCTAAAATTCATTCTTTTTAAAAATAAATAAGTGAGATGTTTGGGTTCAAAATCTCAAATTTTTATCTGATATTTTTTTGTAATTATCAATTGAGTTAAATTAATTTAGATAAATATTTTTATTTTAATTAGGTGTGAATGAATTATGTAATTAATTTTTTTTAATAATTATATAGTTTTTAACGGGCTTAAGCGTGTTCCGAAGACACTTTTCGTATAATTATGTTTCTAAATCACTATTATTACAATAAAGAGATACCAAGATGTGTGAGCGGAGAAATTTGAACAATGTGATGAGAAGACACTTAATTACTAGGTTTCTAAAGTCATTATAAAATTATAATGAGGAGAGAACATTTAATTGGAGATATTCTAGCTCTCGAGTGACTTTTATTTTAATTAGGTTAGAATAAATAGTGAGATAGATAACATTTCAATCACTCATAATTTTTAACCATATTCAATGTGATAGAAAAATAATTTCTAGATTACTAGGTTTCTAAACTCGTCTTTATTATAAATAGAGAGAGAAACTAAAATGTCAGTTTGAAGAAATTTTAATTTCTAAGTAACTTTTATTCTAGTATACCTGCTAAAGTATCAAGTAGTGTGGACTTGCCACAGCCAGAAGGACCCATAATGGCTAATAGTTCGCCTGGTTTAGCATAACCAGTTAGTCCTTGAAGGATTGATCTTCTTCCATTCTTTCCTTTTGCGATTGTATTCACCCATATATCCTTCCATGCTAAGCATATACCATGCTCACTTACTGGTGTGTTTGTGGTGGCCTCAATGTCTACAACTGATGATTCTGAAGAGCTTTTGATTTCAAAACCTTCAGATGGATGAAGGAAAGCCATGGGAATACGTGGTTGTAAAGAGGAGAGAGATAATGAAGGATGTATATTTGTATCAAAACTCATCCCAATTATATACACTTTTTTTTAATGTTTTTCTAACACATGTGTTTCTCATTTCTGTGTTTTTAAGTCACGTGTTTCTTTTGAATACAGAAATACATGTTTTAAAAAAAATTTAAAGATTTTTTAAGTATATTTAGCATCTGCTTTGGAGTCTACTAAAACTAACTTGGGTCACATTTATATGGTTCTAATAGAAGAGTTTTTAAGAAAGATGAAAGAGAAAGAGAAAAAAGAAAAAAAAACTATAAATTGAATTGTGAAAATTAGAATTAATATTGAGTAAAGTTCTATTTGTTTACATCATACAAAGCCTTTTATATAGGCACCTAAGTCTAGGCTTAAAACTATATGATTCTACACATGATCAAAACATTTCAACATGTCAACTAAATATTGTATTCGACATAGTCGATTACAGTTTATTCATATACCTCAGACTAGCTATTTCGACATAGTGAAATGTTAGGTTTTCATAGAACATTAAATTACAACTTCTAACACACCCCCTAATTCATATTCTCGAGATTTTTCATCTCGATGATTCTCTTCAAATTGTCAAATCTGACTTTCTTCAGGGGTTTGGTGAGTATGCAGCTAGTTGTCATTCTGTCTTGCAATACTCAAGTTCAAACTTTTCTTTATTAACATGATCCCTTAGAAAATGATATCTTATTTGTATATGCTTAGTTCGACCATGACATACTCTGTGGTTCGTCAGGTCGATAGCTGACTTGTTGTCGACAAACAACTTCAATTTTTTAGGTTCCATTATCTTGAGCTCTTCGAGCAGCATCTTTATCCATGTTGTTTGACATGCTGCATATGATGCAACCATGTGCTCAACTTCACATGATGACAAAGCCATAATGTTTGGGTTCCTTAAGTTGTGTGAGATTGGAGTGCCTTCGATCATAAATATGTAGCCTACAATACTCTTCTTTTCGTCTTGATCTCAACTGAAATTTGAATCAGTGAAGCAATATACTTCTGGATATGTGATGGTCTTCTTCTACCTTGGCATCAGCACACCATAATCAACCGTATCATCTATGTGTCTCAACACCCTCTTAACTGCAGTGAGATGACATTTTTGGGGTTTCTCCATGAATCTACTTAACAATCCAACACTTTGACAAATGTCTAGCCTAGTATTGCAAATATACCTCAAGGATCCAATGATTTGTTTGTACAATGTCGCACTTACAAACTCATCATTTGTCTCTTTCCTCAACTTTGCTCTAGTTTCTAATGGCGTAGCAACTGCATTATAGTTGCTCATCTTGAACCTCTTC